TAATTCTGACGCTACCATTCTAAACATATTTACCTGGAAGCAGATCTGTGGGGTTTTACTATCAGGGTTTTACTTCTGAGTAAACAAGTTTGGAATGCAAGACATTTACAGAACAATTGACATTTACGGACATTTTTTTGACAGCACAACCCTTTGTATGTTTACTCAGAAATAAGCCCCACTTTATTCATGGGGGATTACACACAGGTAAGTACGGCTCAAGTGGTTAAGACGCTGAACTGCAGGCTGTGGGAGGTCAGTAGTTCAGTAGTTCGAGACCCAAGTGTGCCACATGACGGAGTGAGCTCCCATCTCTAGTTCCAGCTCCTGCCAACCTAGCAGTTCAAAAGCAAGAAATTGCAAGTAGATAAATAGGTCCCACTTTGGTGGGAAGGTAACAGCATTCCGTGTGCCTTGGTGTTTAGTCATGCCGGCCACATGACCACGGAAATGTCTTCGGACAGCGCTGGCTCTTCAGCTTTGAAACGGAGATGAGCACCGCAACCCTAGAGTCGGACTCGACTGGCTTTCGAGCAAGGGAACCTTTACCTTTTTAAGTGTGAGCAGGACTGCTTCCTCACTCTTGCTGAACTCTGTATCCCTGCCAAGCTATGCACGAACAACTTTCCATGCCAATTTTACATCACCCAGACTCTTCCAGTTGTATAAATTCTCTACTCCAATTACATTAGCCAACACCATTTACGACCAGCTGGAGGAATGCAGCCATAAAGCATGCATTTCCTTTTCACATACTGTATTCCATCTTTATGGAGCCTGACCAATATCTTTTATTAGTTCATAACTAATCACTTCGCTTGCTAATGAAGAACGTCATTTGCTCTCCCTCCAAAGAGATGTTTGAGGCTCTCCTAAGGTTATGAACACTTGGCACATGGCATCAATACCTAGAATATTTCAGCCATTTAGCCTGATCTTCCCATATGAGCCTTTCCCCATTCATTCACACACCACGTATATCACTTATATTTGGTCTATAAACTGCTGGTCGTCTGTGTTGAATTATTGGGACGCTGGTATTTCAAAGGGCACGATCTGCTCGCCGACTCCTCCTTTATTGTTACTTTTTAAGTACAGTGTTTATCTTCATTTTAATATTGATTTAAATAGAGCAGTTGGGGGTGGTGGAGGGAATCTACACTGGATTAACTGACGCATGGTTAAAAACCTCAATGACAACCACTTTTTCCCAAGATAATGACAGCCAGCCTCCATGTATTCCAGTAAAATGTGTCTGAGCCTGTAGAAAGAATTCCATTAAGCAGAAATGCGAAATGTACCAGTGGTCCCCCCCCCCTCTTCAGAAATGCTCTTTGTCCTATGAACACAAGGATGAACATTTTTTAAATCCCCTATGCAATTAAAATAAGGGGGAAATTGATGTTTCTACAGACTTATTGTAGCACTGATAGGAATCCTCACAGAGCGAGGACCACAGAATCGCTGGACTGGCCCACTAAATAAGAGTTATACCCCCTAAGCCCACAGAAATCGGCACCGTTCGTTGGCAAGCATTGTGGAGAAAGCAGAGGTCTTTCCTCCTATATAGCCTGGAAGTCCTCCTCTCGACAAGCAGTCTCAATCTGTCTTCGATCTGTCAGAAACGTTGTTAAGTAGCAAACTCATGTTAATGCCTGAGTTGCCTAAATTGCTGTGATTCGAGCGGCATTCGACATACAGCTCCTTAAACATCATTTATATGTTAACCGTTCTGATAGCACAGATGGGAACTCTAACCCAAAGGATATTACAAGAACAGCTGGAAAAGCCAACCACACCAGGGGAGAGTCCTTATTCCTGGAGGTGACAGTTTTATATGAATTTTTATTTGGGTTCAGTTGAATGCGAGGGCATAGCGGCCATCGTTTATCATGTCTGGAAGATTTTTAATGGGCATCTCACAGCATTTCTTGCTGTCTCGAGGCACCTGCCCCTGATTTATTTTCTTCATTTATACCCAGCCTCTCTCCCCAAGCGGTCTTACATCGTTCTCCTCTCCTCCATTTGATCCTCACAATGACCCTGTGAGGTAGGATAGGCTGAGTGTGTGTGACTGGCCCCAGGTCACCCTGCAAGCTTCCACAGCAGAATAGGGACTCGAATCTGGGTCTCCCAAGATACTAGTCCAATCGAATCTGGGTCTCCCAAGATACTAGTCCGATGCTCTTAACCACTAAACCCCACTGGCTCTCAACACTTCTGTTCCTTGAAATGGCCTTGTGCAGCTCTCACTTTGAGCGAGATCCGAGAGCTTCAGAAGTCATCATAGAGGCAATACCTACAAGAGGCAATACCTACAAGCTCAGCTTCATGTGTTACCAGCAGATGTGTTTCAGGAATCGGGAGTCACTTGTACTTAGGAGCTGTCTCTCGCATGGGAGCGAACAGTGTTCCCATCTGACAGGTGGAAGAATCAGGCAACTCACTAGCTCTTCACCTTATCAGAGGAGTTCATAACTGAAAGGGAAGCGTAACCTGACCCCCAAGACTAGTATGCTATCCAGTACACTCCAATAGTTCAAATATATATTAAACGTTGCATGCTCCTACATAAACGATCATGAACCTAACATTTAAAAGGGAGTCACACTTAAACAAAAGCTAAATTGCAAAGCCAAAGGTAAACATACGATGCGAACTTTGTAAACACGTGCAACTCACTCCCGTACAATATCAGCTCCCGTACAATATCAGCAAGCTGTTCCAGCTCCCGTGTGAAGGATGGGTTTCCATGCTCACTTAGCACATCAAGACCATGCTCTTTCTTCCATGTGTTCTCATATAAACAGTTGCGCGAGCAAAAGGACTCATTTTTGATGGCATGAAAGCTGGCCCTGAACCATTCAAGGTGGCACCTCCAGGTTCAATGCAGACAATGAGCCCCTCGTATATGCATGATGCGCCCGAATCCATGGCGGGTGCTAGTGCATTGAAGAGATGCCCGCTACCAGTGGTAAATTGACATGTGCATCCTCCTCCTTCAATAGCTACAACTCAGCCTATGTAGAGTGCTTCCTGTGTAAAACCATTGAGGTAGATGAAGTGAGACTCAAGTAAATCTTCAAGGGATGGCAGGGCTACAGTGCAATCCTCAAAGGGGTTATATCCTTCTAAACTCATTGACAGTTTTGGACTGTAATCTTAAAGGGGTAACTCAGTTTAGGATGTTAGTTTCATAATGCTCCAGAAGGGTTATTCTGGTTACGTTTATGTTAATGAGGATTAAACCATGGAAAAGAAATACGATGTATGCAATCGCTAAATTAGGCATTGCCATTGCGTAATGATTTCCTTCCCCTATGATTTAACCTCACATGCTAAAGCAATCCCCAACAGCACCTTGACTCAGAAGTAAGTATCCTCTGTTAGCCTGCAATCCTACACACATTTAGCTAGGAATATGCAGAGGCTGCAGGCTTTGCAAAGCCAAAGGTAAACATACGATGCAAACTTTGTGAACACGCGCAACTCACTCCCGTACAATATCAGCCCCAACTGGATTAGAGCAAGCTGTTCCAGCTCCCATGTGAAGGATGGGTTTCCATGCTCACTTAGCACATCAAGACCATGCTCTTTCTTCCATGGGTTGTCATATAAACAGTTGCATGAGCAAAAGGACTCATTTTTGATGGCATGAAAGCTGGCCCTGAACCATTCAAGGTGGCACCTCCAGGTTCAATGCAGGCAATGAGCCCCTCGTATATGATGCGCCCAAATCCATGGCGGGTGCTAGTGCATTGAAGAGATGCCCACTACCAATGGTAAATTGACATGTGCATCCTCCTCCTTCAATAGCTACAACTCAGCCTATGTGGAGTTCTTCCTGTGTAAAACCATTGAGGTAGATGAAGTGAGACTCAAGTAAATCTTCAAGGGATGGCAGGGCTACAGTGCAATCCTCAAAGGGGTTATATCCTTCTAAACTCATTGACACTTTTGGACTGTAATCCTAAAGGGGTAACTCAGTTTAGGATGTTAGTTTCATAATGCTCCAGAAGGGTTATTCTGGTTACGGTTATGTTAATGAGGATTAAACCATGGAAAAGAAATACGATGTATGCAATCGCTAAATTAGGCATTGCCATTGCGTAATGATTTCCTTCCCCTATGATTTAACCTCACATGCTAAAGCAATCCCCAACAGCTTGATTCTGTGCACCTTGACTCAGAAGTAAGCATCCTCTGTTAGCCTGCAATCATACACACACTTAGCTAGGAATATGCAGAGGCTGCAGGCAGTTGCCTGGGATGGAAGCCAATCTAAAAGCTAAGGAGTTCCTTTTATTAAGACCCACCCAAAGCAATGCGCAAGCTTTGGAGTTCTCCAGAACTCTTCATCAGGTGAGATGTCCCTGAACACAGCGAGACTTAACTTCCAGGTAAATATATACATCAGGCAAGAAATCTCGAAGGTACCACAACCATTTGGGGGGCACAAGTCTCTTGCCCCAAAGCCATTGCCCTGGGCCCCTGGCATGAGGCTCACCATACTCTGCTAGAGCCCAACAGGTGTCCTCATAACATAGCGGCACCCAGTGCTTTGGAAAGCCTCCAGATAGCGCTAATCTCCAAAACCGTTTCTTTCCTAAACGCAGTGTGGGGTTTTTTTCTCATTGCAAATGACATTTCTTCCCACACAGGTTCCTGCTTGCATAGCGTCCTGTGATAACCAAAAGCTTGCTACCCTGTTGACACAACCGGCTGGCTCTCATCGGCTCCCCTCGCCCCTTGCATCCGTTCACCCGAAATGTGCTTGGCACTCCACGGCCGGCTGTTTCTATATTTATAAGGCACATACCAGTTCGGCTCTGGAAAGGAGCTGCGATTGACCCTGTAAACTAACCTGGCTTCCGTTTCGACGCGATCGCCCACCCCACGTGTCCGCAGCCCGCGAGCGCCGGCCAAGCCCAGCCAAACCAACCCATTCAACAACAACAACAACAGCGAACAAATAAAACGGGGAAATCCCCAATACTTACACCTAAGCGTCTGCTCCTAATCTTTACATACCCCTGCTTCACGATGTCATTGAAATTGGTAGCCATCCTCCCACCGGAGAGTCAAGGAGTTGTAGTAGGGAAGTTGCAGCGAGATCCAGTTTGTAGCGGGGGATTGGTGTTTGTTGGTTTGTTTTAAAAATATATAAGGAAATCAACCCATCTTCCAGCCGACCAGCCCTTGGACTAAAACCGCTTCCTGACCCAGAAACTCACCGGCGAGAGTTTTTAATCCACTTGGGAAGTGAGAAAGAGTGAATGAGAGACGGGAGACTCCCCTCCCGGATCAGCTGACGGGGAAGACGGCAGCTCGCAGCTGACTGGCTTGTGGAATGAGATCAGAGAATCGGCCCAGCTCGTCCGCCACCGCTACCCCCCTTTCTTGTGGGGGACGAGTTCCGCCTTGGCGAGCTGCTCCTTGTAAAATGCGACTTCGGACCCCCGCCCGCCTCTTCCCCCCTCCCTCCCCGGCTTTGAAAGACCACGAACAATTGCAAAGGCAAGAATCCTCCTTTTATTTTATGGTATAAGAGAAGGACCAGGAGGGGTGGGACAGGGGTGTCAATTAAGATCAGGAGTCACCTGGATAAGAACATAAGAGAAGCCAATGTCGGATCAGGCCAATGGCCCCTCCAGCTGAACACTCTGTCCCCCAGTGGCCAAAAATACCAGGTGCCATCAGGAGGTCCAACAGTGGGGCCAGGACACTAGAAGCCCTCCCACTGTCGCCCCCCCCCCAAGCACCCAAGAATACAGTGTATTACTTGCCCCAGCCTGAGAGTTCCTATCTATACCTTGTGGCTAATAGCCACTGATGGACCTCTGCTCCATATGCTCATCCCCAGCAAACCTTGTCAGTTCTAAGATCAGCCCTTGTGACCTATGAAATAAGATGGAAGTGCCTATGAGCATGTGCAGAATGCATTACCTTCAGCCTAGGATCCCTACACACTAAGAGTGTGTGGGAACAATTTGCCCATCATAGGATAAGAGGTCCAGACAGATTTATTTATGGCTTTATTTATTTAATTCATTTATGCTACATGTTTCTCCCCAGTGGGGACCCAAAGCAGTTTACATCATTCTCCTTACAACCACCCTGGGAGGTGAGTTAGGCTGAGAGGGTGTGACTGGCCAAAAGCCACCCAGCCAACTTCCATTGCAGAGTGGGGATCTGAACCTGGGTCTTCTAGATACTATTCCAACACTCTAATCATTACACCACACTACTCCTTCTTTGTAGAAAGGAGGGCAAAAGGCACAACAGCCCTTGGATAAGGGAAGGGAGTGGAGCTAGTAGGAGCAAAGCACTAACAAGACAGGAAGCGCAGCACAATTGTCACAAGGGCTTGATGTTCACAGCTCTTCGACCAACCTACAATGATAGCTTTTTGGTGCATTAGAAAAGTTTTAAGTTAGCAAGCAGTCCTCATGAGGCTGCCGTAATTGGAACAAGACTTCCAGGCGTACCCTCTAGCAAATGTGTTTGTTTACATCGCTTATGGTCTGCCTCTCTCACTGAGACTCAAGACACAACAGTCAAATGACACCAACAGGGTGGGGCATCCATTAAACAAAGCAATAGGGTAGGGGTCCCCAAAGTGGGAACCATGGCACCCAATGACACCTTTTCTGGGGCCTGCCAAGTGTTTTTAGGAAGTGGGTGGAGCCAAGTAGGTGCAGCCAGCTTCTGATTGGCTATTGGAGATGTGATTGATGTGCAGATTATTTTTTTGAAAATGTTGCTTTGGCAGCCGCTGCCATGACAGCACCAGGATCTACGCTGTGTCACTGAAGTTAAGCTGTGGCAATCATTTTGTGGCTGGCTCTGCCTACTGTCACAGCCATTCTGTCTGTGTGCCCACTGTTCCATGTCAGAATTCCAAATGTGCCCACAAGCTCAAAAGGCATGGGGACCCCTGCCAATAAGGTTTGGGTTGCAGAAACCTGGAAACAGCTGGAACAAAGCCTAAGCATAAAAATGACACGTTAACCAATGCAGAAATGACATGGTAGGATCAAAATTACAGGAACAGACGGTACATACTATACCCCGTAGTATAGTCCACAGTTTGTATCCTTTTCCCAAAGCATCTTTCAGAAACATTTCATTACAATACAGCCCTAATTACTTCTGTAAAAAGCCTTTCTGAATCATTCAGTTTTGCATAGCTTGTGGAAAGCCCAGGAGGATGGGAGCATTTCTAGCCTCATCAGGCAGTCCATTCCATGAAGTGGGGGCCACAACAGAGAATACATTGCACAGGTTGGTTTTTGGTTCTGCATATTTGCAGAATACCCCTATAAGCAATGCCAGGGGTAGTTTCGTAGAAAAAGAGCTAGGGGAACTCATTAGCATAACTCATTAGCATATGCCACACCCCCTGACATCAGGGGCCCGGCGGTGGACCTGCAAGGCCAGCGGGAGTGCGAGGAAGCCCTGCCAAGGCCCTCCCTGGCCCCAGGCAGACAGATGTGGGGAGAGGCGGGGAGGAAGCAACTTACCCTCCCTCTTCTCCTGCCTCCTCCTGGCTGAATGAGGGCCGGAAGCGGGGCGGCCAGAAGCAAGGGGCGGGGCTTCGTCGTGTGCCCTGCCCCCCGCACCTCACCCGGGGGAACTGCGTTCCCCTGCGTTCCCCCCCAAATCGACCTCTGAGCAATGCTCCCTCTAAGTTGTTCAGTCTTGTGAGCGAAAAATCTACTTTGTGAGCTACTGGTGTTAAAGTCATGAGCAAGTGATTTGGCTACGGCATAAATTAGTTTGCTCTGGAGCCATCCTTCCTGAGCTAAGACAAAAATGTGTGAGCTGGAGGCTAAAAAACTGTGAGCTAGCTCACATTCACTCAGCTTAGAGGGAACACTGCCTATAACAGCTCCTGCTCAAATAAGACAAACTGTCACAGTGGAGCATGGGAGAGAGGGGGAGATGTGAAACTCCAAGGCCACAAAGGGCCACATATGTGATAGCCAGTACCTTGAATTGAACCTGGTAACTGATGGGCAGCCCATGGGGAGTGACAGTAGAATGGGAGTGATGTGCTTGCTCCACCCAGCTCTCAGTGTCCCATCCTCCTAGCCATCTCCTCCCTTCCTTCCAGCCACACCACAGGGCACAATTCATTACAGATCCCTGGGCAATAACTTGGTGGGGGTTAATTTATGGTGTTCTGCAAAATGTGGTGGATATCAATGCTGCTTTGTAAGTCAATTAAACAACAGGGGACTTGAAAAGGGTTTGCAAAATTCAAGTTTTGTTAAGAGTCAGATTGGATGGGGAAAGAGAGCGAGACTTTGTGCACACCAGGAGGTGGTAGTGGTGGTGGTGGTGGTGGAAGAATGCTGTTCTCGGGATATTCTGGTCTCCCCCCTCCCTTCACCTCCCACTGCCTGCATAATCTCAAATGCTGGCATTGCCTGAGTCTTTTCCAGCAGTTGCTGCTGGTAGGATCCAATTAGGGTCGAAAATATCAGGAAGGGAAAGGAAGATGCGTGGAACAGAAACATGCCACTGTCCTTAGCCCACCTTCATTTGAGAGCACAGAAAGTACAGTAAAAACTTAAAAGAGCCCCTGCCACGGGGG